AGTATTCCAGACAATTATACTAATATACTAGTAGAATTGTTTTGTTTATGATCCTTTCCTGGTCATAATATCAAACAATTACGTTTCAGTGAACGTGTATTCTGTGATGTTCTAACATAGTTCACAGAAGTAATCTTTATTTTTATCACTAATGTCCAGGAGCCAATGACCTCATCTCTAGAGTAAAAAAATGAAGGAAAAAAAAATCAAGATTGCACCACCTGCTGTCATTCTAAAGATCCTTCTACTGATAGATCCAAGGCTGGATTCCAAGGACACTCACTTGAGGTCGCTTGTCCCTATATATCCACCACTGTCTGCACTTAAAACTGCACATCGGAGGTCAGTGGGCTGAGTCCCAAGCAAGGTATGTTCCATTTAAGTAGTGCTTTAAAGTTTTTTGAGCAGACATTAAAAAGTATATAGACACTTAAGGAAGAGGCCCGATTTCTGGCTTCTCGAAAAATTGGGAGATCTGGCAACAATGGACACCCCATATTCTTTCTGTTCTCTCCTCCCACCCACCCTGGCCTCTCTCTCTCCCTTCCTCCCTCCTATTCTCTACTTAAAAACACTCGTCCATTTTATTATTTAGATTTCCTGCCTGGCTCCACTGGGACATGAGTTTTCTACCCCAGATCACAAGACTGGTAGTATCTTTATTTGGACTTCCTTTGTTTACAGTACACTTTAAAAGGTTTTCCTGCTTCTGAGTTTTTGTCTTAATGACAATACAGGGGTGGGCAAAGGTAGTTTTACAGTTGTGAGTAGACGAAACAGTTTATTCTTGTATTATTGTTAATTAATTATTGTGTTGTTTTCCATACAAACAACTGTAAACCTACTTTTGCTCACCCCTGTATAATATAATAATAGTAAAAGACCAGAAAGATACTTTCTTTAAACATGTATCAGTGGCATAAATAACGAGTGAAGACATTAGAAGAACTGTGAATGGAAAAAAATACACAAGAAAAAAAAGGAAATTTCACCAACAGACTCAGAAATCTGAAACCCATTAAAATGGGTCTGTAATTTAAGAGAACCTGAATCTTGTTAAGCTTTTAACCGGGAGGAACTAATTTTATGGTGAACCCTGAACATAAACTAGTTAAATAAAAAAAGTGTGCTCATGTAACTGAGTGTTACATACCACAGACCAGTTAAAAGCTGGGGCCATAACACCACAGTGAAGTCCCTGGTTGCAGAGCAGGAATTCCTAAACTTGGAATCACCTTGGAAACTTAAAAAAAAAAAAAAATGCTGATGTCTAAATCCATTGCAAGGACTTAGGATTTCATTGGTGTGCTGTTTGGCCTGGATGTTGAGGTTAATAAAAGTTCCCCAGGTGCTTCTAAAATGTGACCAAATTTAGAAGCACCGCCGTAGACATTACTAGGACTATAATTAAATATTAGGGCTACTGCCTCTCAAAGCCACTGGTAGTTCCTGAGAGTGAAACAAACCCTCTGCACTTCCCCACAGCCGGAGGGAGGAGGTCGGCAGGCAACTCCTCCGAAAGATGCACCATGTCCCTAGACAGAGATTGGAGATAACAGGAGTCCAGAGGGAAAATCTTTTCACCCCAAAGGAAAATGTTATCTGATCCATCAAAGGAGCTTCTACAGTCCTACGTGAACTTGGACAAGTTAATTCCTGAGCCTTCATGTCCTCATTTGTAAAATGGAGGCAACATTCTCTTTGGAGGCTGTTCTAAAGATTAAAGGAGATAACGTACGTGAAGCAAAGTTGGTTAATAAAAGGTAACTACTTTTAAAAAATGTTTTTATTTGATTTTAGAGAGAGAGGAAGGGAGAGGGATAGAGAGAGAGAAATTTCGATTAATGAGAAACATCAATCAGCTGCCTTCTGCACGACCCCTACTGGCGATTGAGCCCACAATCCAGGCATGTGTCCTGACCGGGAATTGAACCAGTGACCTCTTGGTTCATGGGTCAAAGCTCAACCTGTGAGCCACACCAACCAGGCTGGTGACTACTTTTTAATCCAATACTCAGTGATTGTAGTTTTTACTGAAAGCCATAGCCAATAATTCTATCTAATATTAATCTCTCTCCTCTTTTACATAACAGCATTCCAATTTCAAATGCTTTATTTTGTGTTGTTTTGTTCTAGAATTGTTCAGTGAATGTGGCTCTACTAGATCAGTGGTTCTCAACTTTGGCTGCACATTAAAATCACCTGGGAATCTTTTTAAAATCCTGATTTCTGGGCCTCATCCTCTGGAAATTCTGTTTCTTTGTTATGGACTGGGGGCACAACATTAGTAACAAAGAAACAGAATTTCCGGAGGATGAGGCCCAGAAATTAGGATTTTAAAAAGATTCCCAGGTGATTCTAATGTGCAGCCAAGGTTGAGAACCACTGTACTAGATAAACAAGAATTATTTAAAAGGGAAATTAAATAGACCATTTATCAGCATTGATAAAACCTGCTTGCTTCTCAAAGAATTTAATACAATATGTTGAGAGACTTGAACCTAAAAATGTCAGACGAAACTGGCCATAGAGTTTAAAATGGTATCCAGAAAAATCAATGGGTCAGCAATTGGGGAGTGGGTTATGGAATAGCCTTTTTAAAAAGGTACAATAATCTACTTTCCTACTTTTGTATTACTTTTCCATTGCAACTACAACAAATTACACAAACTTGGTGGCTTAAACCATACAAACTTATTACCTTATAGTTCTGTGTGTTATGAAAGGTAACAGAATATGCCTCCCCCAAATATGCCACTTTGGTATATTGATTATTTTGAGCTGTAGGCACCGGAAAAACACCAAATCCAGCAAGATGATTTCTCTGAACTCCCCATTATCCGCCTAAAGACAGAACCTCCAAAAGGAACCCAATTGCTGTAAATGCCCTCCCAGGAGTTTCATCAACCAGGGAAGACTGAGTGTTTTCATTGGAGAGATTAGAAGTCAGCACGATACCCAAACCAACTTGGTCACAAACTATCACACCTCCCATCTTTCTTCTAAGGACCCACTCATCTTTCATAAAAATCATTTTCTCTCCTCTAAGAGGTATGCATGCCCCCTCTCCTTTCCCTATTAATTTAAGATGGCGTTTAATCCTGAATGCTAAAGCTACCTCTTTAACTTACTCATATTCCCTGGGTATCTCCCAGGTATTCATGAAGTATGCATGTTAATAAGCTCCTGTTTATTTTTCCCTTGTTAATGTCTTTTATTACTGGGATGGGAGGGTGGTCTCAGCTAAGAACTCAGAAAGGAAGAGGAAAGTTTATTTTTCCTCCACGACAGTTAGAAATGTAGCATGGATCCCACGGGGCTAAGCGCAAGGTGCTGGCAGGCACATTCCTTTCTGGGTGCTCAGGGGGAGAATCCTTACCTTGCCTTTTCCAGGTTCCAGAGTCCGCTTTCCTGGACTCTCGGCTCTGTCCTCCATCCTCAAAGCCAGCAAGGCGAGCAGGGGCCTTCTTCATGCCCCCCACACCCTGGTTCTCTTTTCCAGTCACACCTGACTGTCTCTCCCGCCTCGCTCTTCCACTTTTAAGGACGCTAGTGATTGCAATGGGCCCACCTGGATAACCCGGGCGCTCACCCTAGTTTAAGGTTAGCTGATTAGCAATGTATTCCAGCTGCTCCTAATTCCCCTTTGCCATGTGACGTAACAGTCACACAACAAAGAACGATGGAAAGAGAAGTCAAACTAGACTGCCAGTTAGTTTGCAATCTTTCAACGCAAACTGATATTTCAGTTCCAAGAATTAGAATGTGCCCTGGCTGGTTTTGCTCAGTGGATAGAGCTTCAGCCTGCAGACTGAAGGGTCCCAGGTTCAATTCCAGTCAAGGGCACATGCCCGGGTTGCAGGCTTGATCCCCAGTAGGGGCGTGCAGGAGGCAGCCAATCTATGATTCTCATCATTGATGTTTCTATCTCTTCCTCTCCCTTCTTCTCTGAAATCAATAAAGATATATTTTTTAAAAAAAGAATTAGAATGTGAACATCTTTGATGGCCGTAATTCTGCCTAGCACATTTTTTTGGAAAATGTAGTAAAATTTAATAATTCATAAATGCTGTAATTTAATCTGACAGTAAAACACAAGAAGCAATATTAGAGTTGGTTTAGTATATCATATATATAGCTTTGAAAGCCAGAGAAATCAGTTATGCCAGTTATTTTCTAACACATTTTAAACTCACCCCGAGAAGCTACTTAGGATCAAGAGTTTGTAAGGAAATAGGGCCTGATACAAGATGTTAAAATAATAGTAACTGACCAAGTCACGCAAGCATGAGGTAACCATGCCTCCTTTCCTCAATACCAGGTCCAAGGCGGACATTGCTAATCCACCAGGCATGATTGTAGCCATAGGGTCCTTCACACAGCACGCTATAATCCCATTTAGTCAATCAGACTTGGCTTGCAAACTGAGATCTATTCTCCATCCTCAATCTGACCAGTTGTAGTGGCAAGGGACTTTCCCTGAGGGCCTTTTTTTTTTTTTTTTTTTTGCATAAGGTGGTGATCTGATTTTTTTAAATTGGCAGAAAAGGAATCTAAAGAACAATACATATGAACAAACAAAACAGTCAGACTCATAGATACAGAGAACAAACTGATGGTTGCAGAGAGGAGAAGGGTTAGGAGACTGGGTGAAATAAGTGAAGGAGTTCAGAAGGACAAATTGGTGCTTACAAAATCGTCATGGGGGTGTAAAGCACAGCATAGGAAATATAGTTAGGAGTGCTGTAATAACTATGTATGGTGCCAGGCAGGTACTGGAAATATCAGGGGAATTCTTTGTAAAGTATATGATTGCGTAACCATGATGCTGTACACCTGAAACTAATACAAAATAATATTAAATGTAAACTTTAATTGAAAAACTTAAAAAAAGAAATACCAGCTGAACTAAATAAAGAGTTCATAATAAGAAAGTAAAATAAGTGAAATTAATTCAGTCTTGACAGAAATCTGTATTTCTATGATACCTTGTAGAGAATCTGCATTTCTTACTGGCCCTGCCCACATAGCGCAGCCTTCTCTTGAGATTTATTATAATGCATCTTTTTTCCTATGAGAATATTTTGATTAAAGATTTAAATAGATGTTTATATGTAGGCATTTAAAAGCTTTTATTATTTTAAAATAAAACACTACAATCTTTTACAAGTACAGTAAAAATGTAACCCATGATCATGGTGGAGAACTTAGAAAAATCAAAGAAAACCATACATAATTCTATCCACCAAAAATAAATTTTGGTGCTTATTCTGCCAGATGGTGTTTACACTCATTCAACATATTTTTATTGATTCTCTGTACCAGGAACTATTCTAGGCTTTGAGGGTACAGCATGACTAAAATAGACAAAAATCTATGCTCTCAGTGAGGTCAGTTATGTACAAAAAAAAATTTTAAAACCAAAATGGTACTATTTTTCACATTGTTTGTAATTGGCTGTGTGTGTGTTTTAACTACCCCCCTCACACTGTCAGGCTTTTGTGGTTTCCCAGAATTCTTGACTGAACTGAGAGGTAAGATGAGCACTGATGGCTACTTAATTGTCAGTTCAGTCTGACTTCTAGTTCCTTAGTTTGATGCTGTGATCAGCATGCTGTGAATTCTTTAGACCGCAAAAGGCTACTTAGGCATTGAAGAGACCATTCTATCTTGTTCCAGTTGTCTATTGCTACCCTTTAAAACGTAGAGGCTTAACACAGCAACAATCTTTTTTTATTATTATTAACTCACAATTCTGAAGGTTTTCTCAACTTGGGGGAACAATTCTCAGTGTTTTTTGTTTTGTTTTGTTTTCTCATGCAGTTTGACAGTTTTTGGTACTGGAGGCATCGCAAAGGTTTCTTCATTTACATGGCCCATTGATTCTGGCTATTGGCTGGAATATCAGCGAAAGTTTTATCTTCTGGACCATCTACAAAGAGTGTCCCTGTGTGGCCTGGGCATTCTCACAACTTGGTGGTTACGTTTACAGATAAAGAAAGCGTCCTCCGAATCAGAAACCACAACCCTTTCTATCACCTAGCCTTGCGAGTCACATCGGTCACTTCCACCCGGTTACAGACTCATCGGATTCCAGGAGAGGAAACATATGCGCCTCTTGATAGGAGGGCTGTCCACATCACATCCTAAGGGGTGGTGACCATCTTTGGGAAATGCCACGTATCTCAGCCTCCTTCCACCTTTAATCTGTATGGGTCAAGTCAGGGACAGCAAATTTCTGGGGCCACTGTAAGATTAAGAGAAAAATTCTATTGACTATCAATCCTTTCTAAAATAATGTCTCAAAGATTCAGTTTGGTGAAAAAGAACTGATAGTGAAATAACTAACTATCCTACTTTTCCCTATATTTACCCCGTGGACTCACACTTTAAAAGTATTAGTGATGATAAAACAATTTAATCGGGTTTTTTTCCCTTCAATTTGCAAAATCTCCCTGAGAAAGTGACACATAGTCCTATGGATGAAGCCTGGGAAGAATCCTTGACTAATTTTGGCATCCAAGGCCATGACAGTCATCATGCAGGCTGATCAGTGTTACATGTAATATTAAGAAGGCTGGCAAGTGGGATCTCTGTGTACATCACTGGGAAGGAGTAAACACATTAAAAAGCCAGGTAAGAATTCAGAGGAATTATTTAATAAATACTTGCTAAAACAAATCAATAGTTTATTATTTTATTTCAACACTTGACCACTTATGATATATCTGGTACAAATACTAAGTACTCATGTTATAATAGCTATTTAGGCCATTATATATAAAGTAATATTAAAATGATTGATACTGCATCATTTTAACAGCATAAGTAAAATTGTATTATGGTAAATACCATTATGAAGAAGGATACTATGCAACAGACAGGTAAATATCATAGAATACCCACAACATCAGTATGCTATTAATCTGACCACAATACACTCTAGGTCAGGGGTGGGCAACTTTTTTGTGAGTGCGTGCCAAAACCAGCAAAATCTCTGACTCAAAATTCTTCTGCATGCCAACCCTAATTGTTTGATATTATCAGTGGGACTTTTGCTGCTGCATCACTGATGACAGAGATTTTACATCAGGTTTATATTTCGTGACCTTCAGAGATATGCACGAGCTACTACTTTCATCCGTCAGGCTACTCCTATTATGAGACTTAACAAAATTCATCACTGAGAACAAAGATTCACAAGCGTATGTGGATGAAACCAAAACACTGGTCGGATCTAGGAAGGCAGGGAGAGTTAAGGCAGAGGCATAGAAATTGCTCTTCCCCTCTCTCGTCAATCCATGTCTATGGTCTTTAAGATAACTTGTTATGTAAAATTATTTATTTATCTAAGATGCACCTACACTGAATTTATCTGAAAAATAAAAAAGTCGATATTAAGAAAAAATTATAAATGGAAGATTATAAGAGAGGGTTTCGTGTGCCAGCAAAAATTACTGGCGTGCCATGTTTGGCATGCGTGCCAGGGGTTGCCCACCCCTGCTCTAGGTCAAGTATGTCAAACTCCCAGCCACAACAAATATTTTTGCGGCCCAGCCAATATAACGGTATGTAAGAAACATTTTAATAAAAATGTCGTAACTTAATTTTTACAATATCCTGTTACACATAATTATTAATAACAAACCACAACGTTTGCTAATGACTGATTACTATAATCGTGTTGCATTCATTTCCCTTACGCCCCTTACGCACAGGCACACCATTTCTCTCCACTAATACTAGCAGCGAATATTTTAGCAGCCGATGGCCACGTCATTAGTCTTGTACTGACTTGTTTGGTGTGCGCAACAGGAAATATTTCGCTTTCAGAGAACAAGAAAAATAGGTTTATTTGCGTTACACTTACTAATTTGTGCAGTTATTCAGTGTCTGGTAAGTTAATGTTCAAGAAAAAAGATTAATTTTTATTAAGATGTTCTATTATTTTATGTTAACGATGACTCATTTATTTCAGCCCTTTGTATTCAGCATGTCTCTATCGAAATAAACCTACGTTTCTATGAAAATTGAAGCTTTTTTTTTTTTTGCGGCCCACATAAACTTAAACCTTGTTTATTTGGCCTGTGTTAGCCTTTGAGTTTGACATGCTTGATCTAGGTGTTGTACAGAAAGTACTTTTTCATGTCTCTCTTTTAAAAAAGAGTGACTTTCCAGGTTCCTAGTTGTTTTCTGTAGGAGGGAGAGTTCTCTCAGGCTGAGATGGGAGCTAAAAGCCACATAAGGACTCACAGGACACATTTCTCTTGTTCTGACCTCAAAGCAGCTCTCACTTCTTCCTCCGTTGAAGTCCTTCAATCCTCGCTCCAGCATTGAACATACATGCTGAGTTCAACCCTCCTTGTAAAATTCACCACAAAGTGAATAAATGTTAATGGTTTCCTTCAGACCTGTTTTCTAACCATGAGTTCATTAACACTAAAGTTCTAGTTTAAAAATGTTATATATTCTCTGGAGTTCATTCTATAGGAATGAAGACCGCAGTTTCCAATGACATCATGCACTAATTGATAAAGTCAACCTAGGAAATCTGACATTCCTCTGCATGATGTGCTGGGCCTTGTTAACTCAATATGTCATTTCACTTAAGGTCAGTAAAAAAATGTGGAACAGACAGAAATGAGCAAAGGGGAGTCCTGTTTTGCTCTGTTTTGGTTTTGGGGTTTGGTGTTGGCTTTGGTCTTGCTGCAGAAAAGGAAAGCTTTCCCTTGAATCAGGAGCCTGCTCACCAGTACCGTGCAGAAGAAAAGATGGCCCTGGCAAAACCACATTTTCCTGAAATCGCAGCCCCCGCCCCTACTGAGGATGGTTTAGGGAACCCACACCATCCAGGTATTTTCCAGAAAGTTCCATTTTCTTTTTTGTTTTTTAAAATATGTTTTTATTGATTTCAAAGGGGATGGGAGAGGGAGAGAGATAGAAACATCAATGATGAGAATCATTGACCAGCTGCCTCCTGCATGTCCCCCACTGGGGATCAAGCCCAAAACCCCTGGGCATGTGCCCTGACTGGAATTGAACTGTGACTTCTTGGTTCATCGATTGACGCTCAACCACTGAGCCACACCAGCCAGGCTCTTCAATTTTCTTCATTGAATCATGTATAATGCTTAAATAGGGAGAGGAAATGATGAAAACATTTTCTTCTTGTTCTCAGAATAGACTCATTGCCTGCACAGGTCCAGGAGTGGGGATTAAATGCACTTGTGAGCTCTTTCGGTCTTTACTGGATATATATATTTTTTGTACTTTATACATTGGAATTTTAAACAATCTAGAACTACATAGCTTATTTAGCTTGAACTTTTGCCTTAACTACCATAGTGTTTCAACTGTTTTTCTCCAGATACTGTGATCATTATTTGTGAACCACTGCTCCTTTTTAAGTCTTATACACATGACCTTAGTGGTCGGCAAACTGCGGCTCGCTGGTATTTTGTGGAAGAGCCACACTCAAGGGGCCAAAGAGCCGCATGTGGCTCGCGAGCCGAGGTTTGCTGACCACTGCTTAGGCCATCTTAGTTCAATGATGTGTAAGAGTCTAGTAGCAAAAAGTTATTATCCCATTTGATGATAAAAAATCATGGAGAAGAAAACATAGTAGTTATGATTGCTGATTCATTTTCAGTTTTCAAAATCTGTCATAAGAACCAAGGTTTTATTTCATAGGCATTGAATATTTGTATCTAGGAAATCAAATTACATAAACCGAATTCACTGGCTTTTTCATGATCAGCACTGTAATCACTTGCTCTGGTTTGATTTCATTTTCCCCTATATTTGTTATTCATTCTGCCAACATTTATGAGGCACCTAATATATTCTAAGCCTTGTGCATTAGGCTGGAAGTTCAAGAGGAGTAAGACAAAAAAATAAAATCTTGGCCCTCAGAGAGCTTACAGTCTAGCAGAGAAACCAGTCACAAAACAATGTGTTTATACAGGATGTAATCATTTACCTAACAAATATTCCAGACACTGCACAAGGTCATAGAGATATAGTAAAGAATAAAAAAGACACAGACCCTATTCTTTTTTTAAAATCCTCACCTGAGGATATGTTTACTGATTTTAAAAAGAAAGGAAGGGATTCATTGCCTCCCATATGCACCCCGACCAGGGATCAAACCCGCAACCTAAGTATATGCCATGACTGGGAATCGAACCCACAACCTTTTTGGTGTATGGGACAGTACTCCAACCACCTGAGCCACCCAGCCAGGGTTAGACCGTGTTCTTACGAAGTTAGTCATAGAGATAGGCCTTAATCAAATGTAACACAAATGTAAGTTGAGTGCTGGGTAATGTAGAACTCTTTCAGTTCCAAGTGGCCAAAAACCCAACTCACACCAAGCCTCATCCCCCAAAAAAGGATATTGATTGACTCATGTAGTTAAAAAGGTGATGGCAAGTTCAGGCATGGGTTGGTGTGGGGCTCAAACAATGTTTCCAGGACCTGGTTCCTGTCCTTATACCGGTTCACCCATGTTTTGGTTTCATTTCCACGTTCAAATCCAGTGGTACAAGAACAGTGTTTCTATTCTCCCAACAAATATCCTGGGCTGACTCTGATTAGTCCAAAAGAGATCACATGCACATTCCCTAAACAAAGCCTGGCCAGGGGAACGTGGTACTCTGATTGGACAGGCAAGTCACATGCTCTTTGATAGAGTTGTGGGTGGAACCAATTCCAGGAGAAGTCTGTGAATTGAAAGTGGGGGAGAGAAGGTCCTCAGAAGAAATTGGGGATGACTTACCTTTTGATAATGAGGGAGAATGACATTGACAGCCAAGGCACTCTAGCCACCACCCACTGCAATGCTCCATGTGGTCCAGTCTCTCTGTGCCCTCCTATTCCATCCAGGAGACAAATATAGCAGCCAAAATGTCACTAAAAGCAACTCCTATCCTTTAAGATGCCTCTCAAAAATTATCAAAGGGAATTCAATTCCTAGCCTCAGACACACTTCCTGATCTTCTCTTTTCCCTTTCCTCTCACTCTCAATAACTTTCATATCTCATATCTCATATTGTCCTAGTGCCTCTCTACTCACCCTATTACCTTGTCCCTGCCAAAATTCCTACCAACTCTACCTCACATCCTTGCTGTCCTTCCTTCATTTATTGTGCTCAAGTCCCTTTGTCCGGGCCCACTTTTTCATTGCTTCTAGTACTTTTCTACTTTTCTAGTAGATTTTCTAGTTTACCAGTGTCTTAAGTTTTCTTTCCACAGATTACCTCAACCTGCATAATAAAGTTCAGAAATTCCCCTAAAAGGTGAGGGGGAGAGGACCAAATGGCTACAAAATATTGGACTATTTCAATCTGAAGAGATGAAAAATACTGTACAAATGTTTATAATGTCTTTCTTCTGCTATTCAAATAATCATGCCCCATAGTACATGATTTTAAAATATGATGAGAATTTGGGGTGGGGGTAAGGGGAACATTGGTGGACTTTTGAATTGGGATCTAAAGGATGAATAAGAATCAACTAAGTGAATGGGTTTGGCAGGTGAGAATATATTCTGGGAAGCAGAAATATCATTGGACAAGACCCTGAACCTGGACGAAGGCAGGAACTGTAGAGAAGCAAGTGTCTTCAGAATGAGGAGAGCATGACACAGGATGAGGCCGAGGGGTATGTCAGGTAATCCTCAAGCAGGGCTCTGCAGAAGAGCAGACACCAAGCAAGAGAGTTTGGCCCAAAAGATTTGCAGAGTTTGAGTCTCAGAAGAAAAAACCTTTTCAATAGTACCTAATCCTCAGCCTTGTAAAAAAGAATCCCTTTCAAACTCCACATGCCTGGGTTATTACACTACAGCAATCTGAATTATGTAAGTGCACTGTGAAAAGAAATGAAAAGTGCCTTCAGCTCAGTGTCTCTTGGCTGAACTTGTTAGACATCTTTCTGTGATATGCTTAAGTTAGAAAAGGAATCACTGCCAAGATCATTTTGCTGTTATAACCATGATTAGTTCAAGTTTCTAATCTTTCACTGCACAACTTTTTGAGAGAAATGTAAAGCTGATAGGAGATCAAAGCTGACTTATTTATTTGCCTAAGAATATGGGCCAAAAGAAATCTTGTTTATTTGTCTAAGTGTTTACTGATATGATTGGGTTTAAATTAATCATTTTGCAATTTGTTTTCTGTTTCACCCATCTGTTCTTTGTTCCATTTTAAAAATATTTTTCTGGGTTTTTTTCCAGTTGAGTATTTTTATGATTTCATTTTATTTCCTTTGATGGTTTGTTAGCTAGAACTGTTTTGTTTTGTTATCTTTTGTTTTAGTGGTTGCTTTAGGGTTTTTAGTGGACATCCTTTATCTCTTACAGTCAACTTTCAAGGGATAATATATCACTTCACAATTAGTATAAAAACCTTGCAATGGTACATTTCCTTTTCCCACCTCCAGGCCTTTGTGCTATTATTGTCACACATTTTACTTCAGGAGTAGTCACCCCTTATCCACAGGGGATACGTTCCAAGCCCGCCCCGCTCCCAGTAGATGTCTAACCCTACATATGTTTTTTCCTTAACTACCTATGCTAAAGTTTAATTTATAAATTAAGTACAATAAGAGATTAACAACAACTAAAAATAAAATTGAATGATTATAACAATATACTGTAATAAAAGTTATGAGAATGTGGGTAGTCACCCCTTATCCACAGGGGATACGTTCCAAGCCTGCCCCACTCCCAGTAGATGTCTAAAACTGCAGATAGTACTGAACCCTATATATGTTTTTTCCTTTACTACCTATGCTAAAGTTTAATTTATAAATTAAGTGCAATAAGAGATTAACAACTACAAATAAAATTGAATGATTATAACAATATAATGTAATAAAAGTTATGAGAATGCGGCATTATTAAGTAAAATAAGGGTTACTTGGACATAGGCACTGCGATACCAAGACAGTCGATCTGATAACTGAGTTAGCTACTAAGTGATTAATGGGTGGGTAGAGGCTACAGCATAAATATATTGGACAAAGGGATCATTGACATTCTGGGTAGGACTGAGCAGGACAACCCAAGATTTCATCACACTACTCAGAATGGCATGCAATTTAACACTTCTGAATATTTTATATCTGGAATTTTCTATTTAATATTTTCAGACTGAAGTTGACTGAAGGTAACTGAAACTATGAAAAGCAAAACTTCAGATAAGAGGGGATTACTGTGCATACATTTAAACCCTACAATACATTGCATATGTTGCATTTCTTTCTTGTTAAACACTTATCTTTTTTCAGATTTTGAAAATAAGGGGGGAAAAAGTCTTTTGTATTTCCCTATCTATATACTATTCCTAGTGCTCTTTATTCCTTTTTTATTTTTTTAATCTTTATTGTTGAAAGCATTATACATGTCCTTTCCCCCCCACCCCCACTGACTCTTTATTCTTTTAAATAGCTCCAGATTTCTTTCTAGAATCTGCCTGAAAGACTTTTTAAAATTTATTTTGGTTTAAGCCTGCTGTGATGAATTCATTCCCCGCCCCCCCCCCCCATTGACTTTTTTTTCCTTTAAGTAACTCCAGATTTCTTTCTAGAATCTGCCTGAAATACTTTTTAAAATTTATTTTGGTTTAAGTCTGCTGTATTGAATTCTTTTAGATTTTATATGCCTGGAAGAAACTTTATTTAACCTTCATTTTCAAAAGTTATTTTTCACTTGTTTTTGATTCTAGGTTGACAGATTTCTTTCAGTACTTTAAAGATACTGTGCCACTGTCTTGTGTCTCGCATTGTTTTCCACAAGAAATCTGCTGTCATTATTACCCCCGACCCTGACCATCTGCAAATACTATGGTATTTTCCCCTCTGATTGCTTTTAAGATTTCTCATTATCACTTGTTTTCAATGATTTGATTTTGATGTGATTTTAATGTTTTTTGTTCTTAGAGTTTGTTGAATTTCTTAGATTTTTAAGAATTATAGTTTTCATGAAATTTGTAGAATTTCTAGTAATTATTTCTTAAAATATTTTTTCTGCCATCCTCAGATACTGTAAACACATGCATTAGGTCATTTGAAGTCGTCTCACATCTCACTAATTCTCTACTCATTTTTTTTTTTTGTCTTTTTTTTCCTCTGAGTTTAAGTTTGGATAGTTTCTGTTCCTATGTCTTAAAGTGTTTCCCAAACTTATATGACCAGAGAACCATTTTATTTTGCAAAACACCTATTAGCAATTTGAGGATCTCTGATACTTCTTGGAAGCCAGTTTGGAAAATACTAGAACAGACCCTTGGCATTTGTAAGTTTACCATTTTCAATGTTAGCTATTTGTCAGAAGAAATTCCATTGCTGTAGTGATTTGTGATTCTGCTACAGAATGGAGGTGGGGAGTGAGTCACTCTGCTAATGAATAAGCCCAGCCCACTGCTCACCATACACAGCCTAATGGGGTTTTCTAGTTTGCTGTTGGTCATACAGTAGCTTTTGTAGTGATAAAAATTTGTTTGATTTGTAAAAATGGCCCTGAAAAAACTGTCAGCTGTTCATTTGGGGGATGGAAAAAAAATTAAAAGAAAAAAAAATGAGATGACATTAAAAGGGGGGATCTTGGCAAGAAAATAGAAGTTTGGGGATAAATTTTAAAAGTGGTTTCCTAAATTTGGCAGGGACTTGGATATATGCAGATGAGCTCATCCTGTAATCTACATGGAAACCATAAAAAATGACTCATGAACTGCTCTAGTGAGAGACAAAATTTAGCAAGATTAAGACATTACACATGCAATTTACATGAAATTACAAATGTAATTTCAAGAGAAAGCCAGAGCCTGGGTGGGTGTTTCTGTGAAGGCACTCACACAATAAATAAAGTTTGCTTCTAGAATTTAAAGAGGAGCTTTTCTTTGCATATTATGATGTTAATAATGGGGGTGTGATCTTTGCTGACCATATTCCAAGGAAATAGAATATGTTTCATCCTAAACTAAAGATCGCACAGCAGTGGTTCTCAACCTTCTGGCCCTTTAAATACAGTTCCTCATGTTGTGACCCAACCATAACATTATTTTCGTTGCTACTTCATAACTGTAATGTTGCTACTGTTATGAATCGTAATGTAAATATCTGATATGCAGAGTGGTCTTAGGCAACCCCTGTGAAAGGGTCGTTCGACCGCCAAAGGGGTCGCGACCCACAGGTTGAGAACCGCTGCCTCACAGACTAGACTATCTGGGAAGTAAATTCCATGTCCCAGGATGTGCAAAAAGTTGTAAAGGGAAAAATGTGATGCTTTTCAAGAATGTAAACTCAAGTCCTATTACTCCTTTCACAGTCTCCTTAGAAAATTTCTTCTACGATTTAACCAATTCCACCAGCATCTACTAAGTGCCAGGTGGTAAGACAGTTACAGGCGTTTTAAATGTAAGGAAGCCAGTGACCTGCCTGCACGGAGCTCACAGCAGTCGCCTGATCTCCCTCCTGTTCTCCCATGGGTGGAGGCCTTGAGAACTACTGCAGCCTGACTGGTCTGTTTAAAAATAGGGGAATGGCTAACCAAAGGTTGACACAATGGCCCTAGCCGGTTTGGCTCATTGGATAGAGCACCGGCCCTCGGACTGAAGGGTCTTGGGCTTTGGTTACAGGCGTAAACCCTGCCCAGAGTGAGTGTGGGAGGCAACCAACCAATGTGTCTCTCTCACATCGATGTTTTTCTCTCTCCCCCCGCCCCCTTCTACCTCTTTAAAAATCAACAGGAAAATATCCTCAGGTGAGGAGTAACAGCAATTAACAAAAAAGTTAGACACACGGAAACACTAGGCAGCAAATAAAAGTAACAATTAACATGTTATTAAGTTATTAACTGCACAAACTGGCTACTGACAAAAATGACCCCTATTTGTGTGACTTCATTAAGACTCATTACCTGAATGAACAGGTGAAATCCACCAAGGAATCGGGTGACCATGCAATCAACTTGCACAAGACGTGGGTCCTTGAACCTGGATGGCAGAGTGTCTCTTTGACAAGCACACCCTGGGAGGCAGTGATAACGAAAGCTAAGCCTGGGCTGGCTTCCCAGAGCCAAGGGGGTGACTTCCCTGGTTATTAAGGCAGTGTATGCGTGTTGGGGTTACCTTCAGCTTTTCTATAAATTGTACCCAAACATCTACTTAAATTCCTTCTTTTGTATCACTCTTTCAAATAAAGTAATGTGGTACCCACCCACCCCCACCCAGCCCAAAACAAGAATTACATGATGTCAAGAGGCGAAAAAAGTATTAGTTATCTAAAGTAGCCTGAACTTTGCTTTCTCTAGGTCTGTGCTCCAACCAGACCCTGTGTTTGGAATGGTTTTTCCCTGCCTGTATTTGTTAACTTCTTGCCTCTTTAAGGCCCAGTTGAAGCACCACATCCTCTGTGAAATATCAAGACCTTCACATCCCTCCATCCTCACCAGGAGGTGCTGATAATTCTCATCCACGTGGCTCTAGGTTTATCTTCAGTGTTTACAGATGGACTTCCAACTGCGAGGAGTGGCATGAGGTTGGTTCAGAACCTCCTCCAAACCTGGAGAAGGCTGCTCTGCCCACGTTCTGGGCAGGCCAGGGTGCTGGAGAAGTCTGCCCCCCAGGGAAGTCTCTACTCCAAGATGGATGAAAGTTGGTTGGTTTATGCTCAGGCTGCCATAATAAAATGTCATAGACTGGATGGCTTAAACCACATAAATCTATTTCTCAGAGTTTTGGAGGCCATGAAGTCCAAAATCCTTTCGTGAGGACCTCACCCTAATGACCTCATCTAAACCTAATCACCTCTCAAAGCCCTATCTCCCAATACCTCACATTGGGGGTTAACATTTCAACATACTAATTTGAGGAGAACACAACATTCAATTCATAACATTATGAATACTAATAAAAGGGTAATATGCTAATTAGACCAGATAGACCAGACATCATTCCGGTCCTTCCTGACAAAGCCGGGGGCGTGGCCAGCCTGACAACCTTGTGGCCCCTTGCCGCAGCTGGCCCTGCCCCTCAGAGGGGACCCCTGACCCCGATCTGGGGCCCCCTTCAGGGCAGGCCAGTTGGCCCCCACCCGTGCACCAAATCCTATATAATAATAAATTTTATTATATAAATGTTATTATTATTATATTATCCTATATAATAAAAGGGTAATATGCAAATTGACTCTAACAGCAGAATGACTGCTGGACCAGTCACTATGAGGTGCACTGACCACCTCTTGGTCCCTTTCCCTGGCCGGCAGGCTCCGATCACCTGATCACCCACAGTGGGGGCGGGGCCAGTGAGCAGGTGGGAACAGTGGACCTCTCGGTCCCTTCCCCCACTGTCAGGCACTGATCACCTGATGGTGAACGGGGAACAGAGGGTGGGTGGCAGTGGGGGGCAGGACTGGCTGCAGGCAGCTGGGGAAGATGGCCCTGATTACAGGCCATGCCTAGGGACTATACCCACACATGGATTTTGTGCACCAGGCCTCTAGTCTACACTAATAAAAGAGAAACATGGTAATTGGCGTACGACCGCTACCCTTCCCATTGGCTAATCAGGGAGATATGCAAATTAACTGACAGCCAAGATGGCGGCCGGCAGCCAGGCAGCTTGAAACTAACATGAGGCTTGCTTCCTTCAGTGACGGAGGAAACCAACGTTCCCCGCCTGCCTTGCAGGCCTCTGAGCCTGCAGTTTGAACATTGTAACAAACATAGAAGCTAAAAAAAAAACCCAGAAACCAGTTTTCAGCGAGCTGGGATCTCAGAGCTGGAGTCAGAGCTGGAGTTATACATTGTTTCGAACCGAAACAAACCAGATACCTACTTTCAGCAGCGGAGGCCTAAGAGCTGGAGCCTCAGAGCTAAAGCTGGCCCAGAATAAAAAAAAAAAAAAAGAAAAAAAGGAGCAGTTGGGAGCTTCCATCACCCGCCAGCCTGAAAACAGCCCTCAGCCCCTCACCCAGACTG